GCATCATCACTGATACCTTGGCAATACTGCTTCCACTCAAAAATACAGCTGCTGATGCAAGTAGATTACCAATGGGCAGTTGTTGGTGGTATTTTTGGCTGTGCCAGGTAGTTTCATGTCCAGCTGCACAACTCACTGAAATCTTCACCATTGTCCCAATAATTGAAACTATTTTAGCCGTTGCAGATTTCAAACAACCAGGTACAAGGCATAACTGGAATAACGTGAGCAAAATGGTCTGTGGTATGAGAAAATATCTATCCTTGTGGGCAGGCAAGGGTATTTGTGAAACATCTACTATTTCTTCATATTCAATATCACTTTCCTCACTTTCCTCTATATCACTTTCATCTGTTTCATAATCAGATTCTTCAATTTCTTTTGTGCTCTCGATGGTACTCTCCTGAGACAGTACATCATCTTCTTTAAAGCAAAAACAGCGGCAATTGCATGAATCTGTTTGAACAGAGACATCAACAAATTTTTTTGCATCATCATCATTATCACCTGTTACAACAGAATCTGTTATGTCCGCAGTAACCATAGCATCCATCCGATCAGTGGTCTCCTCAACAATAAGCTCATTTTCAGCATTTGAACTCGATTGATGGGATGCAAGTGCTGATTCAATAACCTGGTTGAAAATATTTTTTCTCTCAATAAATTGTGAGTCAATTTTGAATTAATATACATCTTTTTTTTTATAGGTCAATAATTTATATTTAACAGAAATTTGAAATAACGCCCCGAAATTTGACATAACCCCCTTTTTCATACAAGAGAAACTACAGTGTAGACTGCAATGATTTAGTCATATTTCATGTTGTATTTCGTCGTAATATTGCCAATTTCTCATTTCATGTGTTTGCAGAGGTGGTGCCAGAAATCTTCCGACAGAGGGGTTTGAGCTTCCGACAAGGGGGCTAAAATGACTAAAATATGCAATTTTTGTATGTTACTTTGTCAAATTCGCTCCAACAATAACCCAAAATTTCCTCCGATGGGGGGGCTAGATGCTTCCGACGGAGGGGCTGTAGCCCCCCTAGTCCTCCCCTGGCGCCACCACTGTGTGTTTGAGAGTCAAAAATTTCTTGTCCAATTCTGTCTTCAGCGTCTCTATAATTCCTTGAAAATCACGCAGCCCAGTGATTTTTGTATAAGCCCCCCTTCTCTAATAAGCCCCGATTTCTATTAAGCCCCCTGTCTCTAAAACCTCGAATATTAAAAAAACCCGGGGGATTTTAATATAGCTTTACGGTAACTTAGTGACGACAAGGTATAAGAAAATTGTCTTGTACGTAGCAAGGTGTAGTATATTTTTTTACGGAATATACTTCCGCCCCTATGCCCCCGTTACAAAAGGTCGTTTGCCCCCGCACCCCTCCACGGTTTTCCCGATTGAATTAACAGTTGTAGTAAAAAATAAGACTTACTTCTGAATGAATTCTCTTTTTGCGGGCACCAGATATACGCCTTTGAACTTTGTTATATACAAATAACAAATAACGTGGGGACGGCATCTGGCAAAAGTTGTGCCTTCATCGTCACTTCCAAAGAGTTGTTCACAACAGGCGATCTCAGAAACGATTCATTTGTAAAATGAAGGGAGCAGACTCTGGAGTGTCGACTTGGTACAAAGTTTTCTCGTTTTATTTTGACAAGCCAGGCTTTCCTAACTGCTTTGTCCTCTGGAAATTTATGGAATGATATGTTCTTCCCATCGGCGGTGGCCGCAGCTCTTACTTTTGGTGTGCATCCGTAAGCAATACAGTGGCGCATTTTATTGCTATTTATACATATTTACAAGAATTACTTAATGTCGAAAACAATTTGCAAATAAATGACCCGATAACTAACTCTGATTTCGTTTAGAAGCGTGTTGTAAACGTTGATATTGCACTGTATACCAGTAGCAGCAAAAACAAACTATCACAATCTACGTCACGGTGTCACGTGATTCATTTCCCGCCATAATTTGAAAAGGGTTTTTAAGTAGGTAAATGAAATCAGAAAGGAAAAATATTTCAACAGCACTCTCATACAGCATTTTACTTTAAGTTAAAAGAAAAAAAAAATTTGGTGCCAAAAGCGTGTCACTTGTCCTTTAAGTAAGTTAAAAGCTATAAGATACCTTTTTCAAACATTGCAAGATTTTTCCGTGAACTTCCTAGTGATGTCTGAAAGAAAGAGGCCAGGTAAACATTTAAAATTCAATCACTTTACATCATCAGAAAAAGTCAAATAATGTAAATGTTCAAAAATATATTTTTTTGCTCGAAACAACTTGAAATGACTTAAATGATGTCCGCAGTACTATTTGAAAAGTTTCGTGAAGATATCACGACCGTATTTGTGGAAAAAGGACTAAGCCATTTTTCGAAAAAATCCATGACCCCGGGTATGCAAAAAAAGTCAAAAATGAAAGTGTTTAAAATAAATTTTTTTTTGCTCGAAACAACTTAAAACAACTTGAATTATGTCCGCAATACTATTTGAAAGGTTTTGTGAAGATATCACGACCGTATTTGTCGAAAAAGGACCAAGCCATTTTTCTAAAAAATCCATGACCCCGGGTATGCAAAAAAAGTAAAAAAATGTAAACGTTCAAAAAATTTTTTTTTTTTGCTCGAAACAACTTGAAATTACTTAAATTATGTCTGCAATACTATTTGATAAGTTTTGTGAAGATACCACGACCGTATTTGTGGAAAAAGAACCAAGCCATTTTTCTAAAAAATCCATGACCCCAGGTATGCAAAAAAAGTCAAAAATGAAAATGTTTAAAATAAATTTTTTTTGCTCGAAACAACTTGAAATGACTTAAACTATGTCCGCAATACTATTTGAAAAGTTTCGTGAAGATATCACGACCATATTTGTCGAAAAAGGACTAAGCCATTTTTCTAAAAAATCCATGACCCCGGGTATGCAAAAAAAGTCAAAAAAAGGAAACGTTCAGAAAAAAATTTTTTTTGCTCGAAACAACTTGAAATTACTTAAATTATGTCCGCAATACTATTTGAAAAGTTTCGTGAAGATATCACGACCATATTTGTCGAAAAATGACTAAGTCATTTTTCTAAAAAATCCATGACCCCGGGTATGCAAAAAAAGTCAAAAATGAAAATGTTTAAAATAAATTTTTTTGCTCGAAACAACTTAAAACAACTTGAATTATGTCGGCAATACTATTTGAAAGTTTGTGAAGATATCACGACCAGATTTGTCGAAAAAGGACTAAGACATTTTTCTAAAAAATCCATGACCCCGGGTATGCAAAAAAAGTCAAAAAATGTAAAGGTTCAAAAAAAAATTTTTTTGCTCGAAACAACTTGAAACAACTTAAATTATGTCGGCAATACTATTCGATAAATTTTGTGAAGATATCACGACCGTATTTGTCGAAAAAGGACCAAGCCATTTTTCTAAAAAATCCATGACCACGGGTATGCAAAAAAAGTCAAAAAATGTAAAGGTTCAAAAAAAATTTTTTTTTGCTCGAAACAACTTGAAATGACTTAAACTATGTCCGCAATACTATTTGAAAAGTTTTGTGAAGATATCACGACCGTATTTGTCGAAAAAGGACTAAGCCATTTTTCTAAAAAACCCCCGGTATGCAAAAAAAGTAAAAAAAATCGTCAGTATTCCCCAAAAAAATTTCAGCATTAAGTAAGTTAAAAGCTATAAGATACCTTTTTCAAACATTGCAAGATTTTTCCGTGAACTTCCTAGTGATGTCTGAAAGAAAGAGGCCAGGTAAACATTTAAAATTCAATCACTTTACATAATCAGAAAAAGTCAAATAATGTAAATGTTCAAAAATATATTTTTTTGCTCGAAACAACTTGAAATGACTTGAATTATGTCGCCAATACTATTTGAAAAGTTTCGTGAAGATATCACAACCATATTTGTGAAAAAGAACTAAGCCATTTTTCTAAAAAATCCATGACCCCGGGTATGCAAAAAAAGTCAAAAATGAAAATGTTTAAAATAAATTTTTTTTGCTCGAAACAACTTAAAACAACTTGAATTATGTCGGCAATACTATTTGAAAGGTCTTGTGAAGATATCACGACCGTATTTGTCGAAAAAGGACCAAGCCATTTTTCTGAAAAATCCATGACCCCGGGTATGCAAAAAAAGTCAAAAAATGTAAATGTTCAAAAAAAATTTTTTTTTGCTCGAAACAACTTGAAATTACTTAAATTATGTCCGCAATACTATTCGATAAGTTTTGTGAAGATATCACGACCGTATTTGTCGAAAAAGGACCAAGCCATTTTTCTAAAAGATCCATGACCCCGGGTATAAAAAAGAAGTCAAAAAATGTAAAGGTTCAAAAAAAATTTGTTTTTGCTCGAAACAACTTGAAATGACTTAAATTATGTCCGCAATACTATTTGAAAAGTTTCGAGAAAATATCACGACCGTATTTGTCGAAAAAGAACCAAGCCATTTTTCTAAAAAATCCATGACCCCGGGTATGCAAAAAAGTCAAAAAATGTAAACGTTCAAAAAATTTTTTTTTTGCTCGAAACCATTTGAAATGACTTAAACTATGTCCGCAATACTATTTGAAAAGTTTCGTGAAGATATCACGACCATATTTGTCGAAAAAGGACTAAGCAATTTTTCTAAAAAATCCATGACCCCGGGTATGCAAAAAAAGTCAAAAAAAGGAAACGTTCAAAAAAAAATTTTTTTTGCTCGAAACAACTTGAAATTACTTAAATTATGTCCGCAATACTATTTGAAAAGTTTCGTGAAGATATCACGACCAGATTTGTCGAAAAAGGACTAAGCCATTTTTCTAAAAAATCCATGACCCCGTGTATGCAAAAAAGGTCAAAAAAGGTAAAGGTTGAAAAAAAAATTTTTTTTGCTCGAAACAACTTGAAATTACTTAAATTATGTCGGCAATACTATTCGATAAGTTTTGTGAAGATATCACGACCGTATTTGTCGAAAAAGGAGCAAGCCATTTTTCTAAAAAATCCATGACCCCGGGTATGCAAAAAAAGTCAAAAAATGTAAACGTTCAAAATAAATTTTTTTTGTTTGAAACAACTTGAAATTACTTCAATTATGTCCGCAATACTATTTGAAAAGCTTCGTGAAGATATCACGACCATATTTGTCGAAAAAGGACTAAGCAATTTTTCTAAAAAATCCATGACCCCGGGTAGGCAAAAAAAGTCAAAAAAAGGAAACGTTCAAAAAAAAATTTTTTTTGCTCGAAACAACTTGAAATTACTTAAATTATGTCCGCAATACTATTTGAAAAGTTTCGTGAAGATATCACGACCAGATTTGTCGAAAAAGGACTAAGCCATTTTTCTAAAAAATCCATGACCCCGGGTATGCAAAAAAAGTCAAAAAATGTAAAGGTTCAAAAAAAAATTTTTTTGCTCGAAACAACTTGAAACAACTTAAATTATGTCGGCAATACTATTCAATAAATTTTGTGAAGATATCACGACCGTATTTGTCGAAAAAGGACCAAGCCATTTTTCTAAAAAATCCATGACCACGGGTATGCAAAAAAAGTCAAAAAAGGTAAACGTTAAAAAAAAATTTTTTTTGTTTGAAACAACTTGAAATTACTTCAATTATGTCCGCAATTCTATTTGAAAAGCTTCGTGAAGATATCACGACCATATTTTTCGAAAAAGGACTAAGCCATTTTTCTAAAAAATCCATGACCCCGGGTATGCAAAAAAAGTCAAAAATGAAAATGTTTAAAATAAATTTTTTTTTGCTCGAAACAACTTAAAACAACTTGAATTATGTCCGCAATACTATTTGAAAGGTCTTGTGAACATATCACGACCGGAATTGTCGAAAAAGGACCAAGCCATTTTTTTAAAAAATCCATGACCCCGGGTATGCAAAAAAAGTCAAAAAATGTAAACGTTCAAAAAAAATGTTTTTTTGCTCCAAACAACTTGAAATTACTTAAATTATGTCTGCAATACTATTTGATAAGTTTTGTGAAGATACCACGACCGTATTTGTGGAAAAAGAACCAAGCCATTTTTCTAAAAAATCCATGACCCCAGGTATGCAAAAAAAGTCAAAAATGAAAATGTTTAAAATGAATTTTTTTTGCTCGAAACAACTTGAAATGACTTAAACTATGTCCGCAATACTATTTGAAAAGTTTCGTGAAGATATCACGACCCGTATTTGTCGAAAAAGGACCAAGCCATTTTTCTAAAAAATCCATGACCCCGGGTATGCAAAAAAAGTCACAAAATGTAAACGTTCAAAAAAAAATTTTTTTTGCTCGAAACAATTTGGAAATACTTAAATTATGTCCGCAATACTATTTGAAAAGTTTCGTGAAGATATCACGACCATATTTGTCGAAAAAGGACTAAGCCATTTTTCTAAAAATTCCATGACCACGGGTATGCAAAAAAAGTCAAAAAATGTAAATGTTCAAAATAAAATTTTTTTTTCCTCGAAACAACTTAAAACAACTTGAATTATGTCCGCAATACTATTTGAAAAGTTTCGTGAAGATATCACGACCGTATTTGTCGAAAAAGGACCAAGCCATTTTTCTAAAAAATCCATGACCCCGGGTATGCAAAAAAAGTCAAAAAATGTAAATGTTCAAAATAAAATTTTTTTTCCTCGAAACAACTTAAAACAACTTGAATTAGGTCCGCAATACTATTTGAAAAGTTTTGTGATGATATCACGACCGTATTTTTCGAAAAAGGACCAAGCCATTTTTCTAAAAAATCCATGATCCCGGGTATGCAAAAAAATAAAAAAAATGTAAAGGTTCAAAAAAAAATTTTTTTTGCTCGAAACAACTTAAAACAACTTGAATTATGTCCGCAATACTATTTGAAAAGTTTCGTGAAGATATCACTACCGTATTTATCGAAAAAGGACTAAGCCATTTTTCTAAAAAATCCATCATCCCGGGTATGCAAAAAAAGTCAAAAAATGTAAATGTTCAAAAGGAAATTTTTTTTGCTCGAAACAACTTGAAACAACTTGAATTATGTCGGCGATACTATTCGATAAGTTTTGTGAAGATATCACGACCGTATTTGTCGAAAAAGGACCAAGCCATTTTCCTATAAAATCCATGACCCCGGGTATGCAAAAAAAGTCAAAAAATGGAAACGTTCAAAAAAAATTTTGTTTTGCTCGAAAGAACTTGAAATTACCTAAATGATGTCCGCAATACTATCTGAAAAGTTTCGTGAAGATATCACGACCGTATTTGTGGAAAAAGGACTAAGCCATTTTTCTAAAAAATCCATGACACCGGGTATGCAAAAAAAGTAAAAAAAATCGTCAGTATTCCCCAAAAAAAAATTCAGCATTAAGTAAGTTAAAAGCTATAAGATACCTTTTTTAAACATTGCAAGATTTTTCCGTGAACTTCCAAGTGTGTCTGAAAGAAAGAGGCCAGGTAAATATTTAAAATTCAATCACTTTACATAATCAAAAAAAGTCAAATAATGTAAATGTTCAAAAATAATTTTTTTTGATCGAAACAACTTGAAATGACTTAAATTATGTCGCCAATACTATTTGAAAAGTTTTGTGAAGATATCACGACCGTATTTGTCGAAAAAGGACCAAGCCATTTTTCTATCAAAATCCATGACCCCGGGTATGCAAAAAAAATCAAAAAATGTAAACGTTCAAAAAAAATTTTTTTTTGCTCGAAACAACTTGAAATTACCTAAATTATGTCCGCCATACTATTTGAAAAGTTTTGTGAAGATATCACGACCATATTTGTCGAAAAAGGACCAAGCCATTTTTCTATAAAATCTATGACCCCGTGTATGCAAAAAAAGTCAAAAAATGTAAATGTTCAAAATAAAATTTTTTTCCCTCGAAACAACTTAAAACAACTTGAATTATGTCCGCAATACTATTTGAAACATTTCGTGAAGATATCGCGACCGTATTTTTCGAAAAAGGACCAAGCCATTTTTCTAAAAAATCCATGATCCCGGGTATGCAAAAAAATAAAAAAATGTAAAGGTTCAAAAAAAAATTTTTTTTGCTCGAAACAACTTGAAACAACTTAAATTATGTCCGCAATACTATTTGAAAAGTTTCGTGAAGATATCACGACCGTATTTGTCGAAAAAGGACCAAGCCATTTTTCTAAAAAATCCATGATCCCGGGTATGCAAAAAAAGTCAAAAAATGTAAACGTTCAAAAATAATTTTTTTTGCTCAAAACAACTTGAAACTACTTAAATTATGTCCGCAATAATATTTGAAAAGTTTTGTGAAGATATCACGACCGTATTTGTGGAAAAAGGACTAAGCCATTTTTCTAAAAAATCCATGACCCCGGGTATGCAAAAAAAGTAAAAAAAATCGTCACTATTCCCCAAAAAAAATTTCAGCGTAAGTAAGTTTAAAGCTATAACATACCTTTTTTAAACATTGCAAGATTTTTCCGTGAACTTCCAAGTGATGTCTGAAAGAAAGAGGCCAGGTAAATATTTAAAATTCAATCACTTTACATAATAAAAAAAGTCAAATGATGTAAATGTTCAAAAATAATTTTTTTTGATCGAAACAACTTGAAATGACTTAAATTATGTCGCCAATACTATTTGAAAAGTTTTGTGAAGATATCACGACCGTATTTGTCAAAAAAGGACCAAGCCATTTTTCTATCAAATCCATGACCCCGGGTATGCAAAAAAAGTCAAAAAATGGAAACGTGCAAAAAAAATTTTTTTTTGCTCGAAACAACTTGAAACTACTTAAATTATGTCCGCAATACTATTTGAAAAGTTTCGTGAAGATATCACGCCCGTATTTGTCGAAAAAGGACCAAGCCATTTTTCTAAAAAATCCATGACCCCGGGTATGCAAAAAAAATCAAAAAATGTAAACGTTCAAAAAAAATTTTTTTTTGCTCGAAACAACTTGAAATTACCTAAATTATGTCCGCAATACTATTTGAAAAGTTTCGTGAAGATATCACGACCGTATTTGCCGAAAAAGGACCAAGCCATTTTTCTAAAAAATCCATGATCCCGGGTATGCAAAAAAAGTCAAAAAATGTAAACGTTCAAACAAAATTTTTTTTTGCTCGAAACAACTTGAAACGAAACTTAAAACAACTTAAATTATGTCCGCAATACTATTTGAAAAGTTTTGTGAAGATATCACGACCGTATTTGTCGAAAAAGGACCAAGCCATTTTTCTAAAAAATCCATGACCCCGGGTATGCAAAAAAAGTCAAAAAATGTAAATGTTCAAAATAAAAATTTTTTTCCTCGAAACAACTTAAAACAACTTGAATTATGTCCGCAATACTATTTGAAAAGTTTCGTGAAAATATCACGACCATATTTGTCGAAAAAGGACCAAGCCATTTTTCTAAAAAATCCATGACCCCGGGTATGCAAAAAAAGTCAAAAAATGTAAAGGTTGAAAAAAAATTTTTTTTTGCTCGAAACAACTTGAAACAACTTAAATTATGTCCGCAATACTATTTGAAAAGTTTCGTGAAGATATCACGACCGTATTTGTCGAAAAAGGACCAATTCATTTTTCTAAAAAATCCATGACCCCGGGTATGCAAAAAAAGTCAAAAATAAAAACGTAAAAAAAATTTTTTTTTTGCTCGAAACAACTTGAAATGACTTAAATTATGTCCGCAATACTATTTGAAAAGTTTCGTGAAGATATCACAACCGTATTTGTCGAAAAAGGACCAAGCCATTTTTCTAAAAAATCCATGACCCCGGGTATGCAAAAAAAGTCAAAAAATGTAAAGGTTCAAAAAAAATTTTTTTTTCCTCGAAACAACTTGAAATTACTTAAATTATGTCCGCAATACTATTCGATAAGTTTTGGGTAGATATCACGACCATATTTGTCGAAAAAGGACTAAGCCATTTTTCTAAAAAATCCATGACCCCGGGTATGCAAAAAAAGTCAAAAAATATAAACGTAAAAAAAATTTTTTTTTTTGCTCGAAACAACTTGAAATGACTTAAATTATGTCCGCAATACTATTTGAAAAGTTTCGTGAAGATATCACGACCATATTCGTCAAAAAAGGACCAAGCCATTTTTCTAAAAAATCCATGACCCCGGGTATGCAAAAAAAGTCAAAAAATATAAACATTCAAAGAAAAATTTTTTTGCTCGAAACAACTTGAAATGACTTAAATTATGTCCGAAATACTATTTGAAAAGTTTCATGAAGATATCACGACCATATTGGTCGAAAAAGGACTAAGCCATTTTTCCAAAAAATCCATAACCCCGGGTATGCAAAGAAAGTAAAAAAAATCGTCAGTATTCCCAAAAAAAATTTCAGCAGTAAGTAAGTTAAAAGCTATAAGATACCTGTTTTAAACATTGCAAGATTTTTCCGTGAACTTCCAAGTGATGTCTGAAAGAAAGAGGCCAGGTAAACATTTAAAATTCAATCACTTAAGATAATCAGAAAAAGTCAAATAATGTAAATGTTCAAAAAAAATATTTTTTTTGCTCGAAACTACTTAAAATGACTTAAATTATGTCTGCAATACTATTTGAAAAGTTTCGTAAAGATATCACGACCGTATTTGTCGAAAAAAAGATTAAGCCATTTTTCTAAAAAATCCATGACCACCCTGGGTATGCAAAAAAGTAAAAAAATGAAAATGTTCAAAAAAATTTTTTTTTTGCTCGAAACAACTTGAAACAACTTAAATTATGTCCGCAATACTATTCGATCAGTTTCGTGAAGATATCACGACCGTATTTGTAGAAAAGGATTAAGCCATTTTTCTAAAAAATCCATGACCCCCGGTATGCAAAAAAAGTCAAAAAATGAAAATGTTCAAAAAAAATTTTTTTTTGCTCGAAACAACTTAACTTATGTCCGCAATACTATTTGAAAAGTTTCGTGAAGATATCACGACGGTATTTCTCGAAAAAGAAATTAGTCATTTTTCCAAAAAATCGAGGGTATGCAAAAAAAGTCAAAAAATGTAAACGTTCAAAAAAATTTTTTTTTGATCGAACAACTTAAAACAACTTGAATTATGTCGCCAATACTATTTGAAAAGTTTTGGAA